GGGTTCAGGACAAAACTTTGTGGCTCTGCTGGTATATGTCAACGATATTGTGGTTACTGGACCAAATCTGGAGGTAATCAATTCTTTAAAGTCTTTCTTACACACTCAGTTTAAACTCAAGGATCCGGGGATCCTGAAATATTTTTTGGGGATCGAAGTGGCCAGATCTACTTCTGGTATTGTCATTTCGCAAAGACATTATACCTTACAGTTGCTTGAAGTGCACATTACCTGGATTGTAAACCTGTTACCAGCCCTAGGGATCCTAAGCTTACTCTCAGTCGCCATGAAGGGGACCTGCTTCCTGATGTTTTTCATTAAAGGAGATTAATTGGAAAACTCCTTTACTTAACCTTGTCACGACCTGACATCACGTTTGCTGTACATAAGCTGAGTCAATTTGTTGCTCAACCCAGAATGCTGCACCTAAAGGCCGTTCATCATTTATTCAGGTATTCGAAAGGGCATCCTGGACAGGGTCTTTTCTTCCCTTCACAACTGGCTTCGGATAAATCCATTCACATTTAGCATTCTCCGATGCTGATTGGGGCTCCTGCGTTGACACTCGTAAATCAACTACTGGATTCTGTATTTTTGTTGGTGATTCGTTAGTTTCATGGAAATCCAAGAAGCAGCCAACCATATCCCGTTCTTCGGCAGAGGCAGAGTATAGGGCACTTGCTTCTGCTGTCAGTGAAATTCTCTGGATTACACAATTACTGAAAGATTTTCAAGTTTCTGTTTCTACTCCAGCTGCACTTTTTTGTGATAACCAGGCCGCTATTCAGATTGCCACTAATCCCGTTTTCCATGAACGTACCAAGCATATAGAGGTTGATTGCCATTTTGTACGTGATAAGATAAATGCAGGAGTGGTCAAGCTTCTTCCTGTGCGCTCACAACATCAACTGGCTGATCTCTTCACCAAACCGTTGCCTTCTTCCAATCTGTTTCCTTTGCTGTCCAAGTTGTGCGTCAAGGACATTTACGCACACCTTGAGGGGGAGTATTTGAAATAGCGTTTTTATTATTTTTATACGCTTTTATCTCTATTACGTTTTCTCCTCTTTCCATTGTAATTAGTTAGGACTTTTATTTCATTTTCCTTCTCTCTCCTTGCTGGAATTAGTTACACCAGCCCTACCTGTTTTTCCCGCCTTTTTTTCGTGATCTTTGTCTATATAATCTGATATAGCTGTATTAGTTAGACAAGCAATATATGATAATCTTTTCCCAAGTTCGTGACCTTCTTTGTTTCAATATAATCAATATCTCATTAACCATTAAACTTTAGAAGTTTTACAAATAATCACCAAATTTATCAAAACGTTATTTCATCCATCACTCAGGGCTCATAGACGTGGCAAATAGAAATGCTGACCTGACACATTATAACAGTGCAATTATAGAAAAATCAATCAAAAACATTATATAAGCAAACGTGTATTTGGCAAAGTTCAAATTCAAACAGGCACTTGATATAATGCGTTCTTCTTTACAAAGTTAAGAATAACTTTAACAACTATGATGCCAACGAGAAGACATTGGCATATCTTTTAGAATAATGTTACTTTGTCAGAAGAATATGGCCAGATTCAGTGACAGAAAATGCAGCTGTGGGAGGTGATTGGATGAGAAAGTTGACTGTGTTTAAAACCGTCAAATGATAAAATGTCATGTAACATTATGTCAAACTTTCTATTCATGTAGTATGATTGTATCTTTTAGAATAATGCTACTTTGTGAGAAGAATATGACCAGATGCAGTGCCGAAGATGCAATGGCTAGAGGTAATTGAATGAGAAAGCTGACTATATTTAAAACAATTCAATGATAAAATGCCATGATGTATTATGTCAATTAATATGTCAAACTTTCTGTTCATGTAACATGATTGTATCTTTTATTTCAATAGCCAAATGAAGTCAACTCAGGTGATCAAGTTTAAAATCGAATCCTGGTTGCTGGTTTAACACGTTAAAAGCAGCAGTGTCTGTTTATATGTTTCATTTGTTGTAATTATCATCATGATCAAGTAGCAATGTTCAATCTGTCGTAATCAATGATTTTAAAAAACGTTATGGCCCCCGCCCATTAAAACAATTATCTATAAACAAAATCTCTTCAATACTGAAATCGCTATGACGAGCAACAGAAATTACAGGCAACACTATATGTATATCAGTATAATATAAAGAAACCACGGACGATATGAAATTTAGCTAAACTATCCTTTCATCATGAGTATATCGGAAGGAAGATCTTAATGCTCACTTGCACATCTCACCGAGTACAACAAAGCTCTCTACATTTCAATGACCTTCAAAAAATTATTCTGTTAGCACGACTTTTCTATTCTTTTCCACTAATGTATAGGCACAGACTCGTGGGAGAACATCAATCTGAATAAGAAGAATCATGGTCAGGGCTATCAGCATGCGTGTCCATTGAAGTGTCATTGGTGCCAGGCGGATTAGGATCCCTGCTTTCATAACTATTGTTCTCATTATTGCGCATTACATAGTAACCTCCCTGCATCAGGTGATGGTGCTGGAGGCTCCAACTAGCAGGACTGGAGAGAGCATTTGAGAAAATAGAGTTCCCGGAACAGAGTTCTTGCACACCAGTTGCAGGACCAAATGAATTAGAACATACTTGAAATCCTGTGTGAGCAGAATGCATTGCAGTTTGAGACTGTTGTTGCTGCTGGAATGGCAACCTTGGGGAGGATGGGAGTTCTTCTGTTCCATAATCAAGCTCATTCTGCAATTTTGCAAATAGATAAAGAAGCTTTCAAAAGAATATATTTTAACACAAATATGCCTCTAAGAATTGACAACTATTCACAGTAAGAATCATACAACCCATCAATTTAAAATAGCAGCACCACAATTTTTAACACCACGCAGATTTTAAAGATCAAAATCACACATAACCATTAGCGACCACATAATGGAAAAAGAAGAACAAATTATGAGCAATCCAATGGCTCAATTTGTGTGTTCTTTGGAGAAAAACACAAGTTTCTCTCCCCCTATTAAGAAAGGTGTTAACTCTTAGGTATGGCTTTCTTAAAAAATATTTACAATGTCAGATAAATGTGCTTTGGCACCATGAAGTTCTAACTTTGGAAACATTTCCAGAAACGTGGCAAGCAAACGTGTGACATTCAAAATGCAGGAAAGCAGAACCACATTTTCATATAATATACCTGGAGAAGAAAGCATAAACCAGAAAAGGGCAGAGCATAACTTCAATGAATGGAGTCCTGAGTCCTCAAATCACATTATTGAGATTTGTTCAATAATTAGCTAGGATATTAGGACAAGAACAAGAATAAAACGATTCAACAGGGCTAATTTTTCCACAATAAAATTTCTCATTAGAAAGGCGGAAGTTAATTCATGCGTGCATAAAGTTGAAAATACAGTGGATGTCTATATAGTGATGCTATCGAGCAATTCCACACTTGGGACAGAGAGAGCAAAACTGAATGAACGTAAGAATTGCTCTTTAACGAGTTCATTAAGTCCAAAGCAATTCCATGGTTTGAATAAATTTACCCATGACATGAAGTATCCATAAGATCATTGTCTTCTATCAAATAAGACATAGGGCGTACTAAAAAATTTCCAACTTGAGCTTTATTTCCAAGTAAGTTAAAACAAGAGTAAGGAGAACTATTTTGCCAAACTTTCGTACCACAAACACATTAAGGTGACAAGCATTATCTTGTTCAATTGACAAGTATTACTACCATAATTTATCCTTGGTGATGCAGTATGTGACCAAGTTCTACGATAGAAAAATCAACCAAGAACTGCCTAGCAAATTAACGACACGCAACTCCTTGGATTATATGGACCTGTAAACTTGATAGATGAATTCAGTCCTAGATGAAGTACTTTCTCATGAGGTGACATGAAGTTACTAGCTCAACGTAATAGTCGAATCTCTGGATTGAAATCTGCCATCTCTTGAGTTCTAAATTCTAGTTCTGTACCATAAACATTTCTAGCACATTGAAGAAAATAGATACAAAAATTTCTAGAACTCTACTTCATGTTATAAAATTTGCAGTTACTGTCTTCAGAAACTTGATTCCCAGTTTCAGGGTAAGTAACATTTGTTCAAAAGAAAGATCCTATTATGAGGGTGGTAAAACCTCTGCTAGTACTTCAGTTTTCTAGAGATATACATAATTGCACTCCTGATATCATTCATTACAGTTCAATTATCAGAACATTACACAACGAACATGAGCAAGAGCTGTTCAAATGATATGTAATCTTACTCTTAATTTAAGGAAGACCACTAGAAAACATGAGCAAAAAGAAACTACATCTGTCAACGAATAGCATTGAAACTCAAAACCAACATTGCCAAAGCAAACACTGGAGTATATACAGAAGATAACCAATGTATAACACAAGACTCAGCAAAGATGCGCCAAGTATTTCATAATCACCTTAACAAATTGCAAAGAGATATAGGGAGGAGTTTTGAGTTTATCAATTATGAAAATAATGATAAAAACCTGAATATATGCAAATATATCTCCGGTCGTCACTCTTGCCCCATCTTCTTGTTGCCTTAAAATCCAATTATAAAGTTTCTCCTGCAATAAAATAGAAAATAAACCTCGATAAATAATTTTAGTAAATTAGAACCTGTCAAATACGCAGTACACGCAAAAGATATTAGTAAATCATATTCAAATTGAGCAAAAGGTGTGCTGAATTTACTCTATTATACAAAGAGCAGCATGATTTAACATCAAAATAATTACGAAACATTAAGAAAAGCTAGTTTGAAGAAATCCCATCAAGAAAAACCAATAAAACGAAGTAATACGGGTTACTGACCAACGAGTGGCGTTCGCCGGTCTGGAAGGAGAGGCGCTGGTGGTGCATGGCCTGGGTGTAAAGCTGGGAAAGGGAGTTGGCTGCGCTGCAGAAGGTAGAGTACATGGTTCGATCCACCTCATCTAGCCGTGTCGCATCGGATTTCCTCTTCTTTGCCATTCGTAAAATGCAATTTTAGAATCTTTCTGCTCGACCAGATTGATCGGCCTGTATAATTATGTATGCATATCTCTGATAAAAACGGTGCTTTATATAAGTTTAGGGGACATTTGCTTTACGGAAGGAAATGAAGCTGCTGTAGAGGAGAGTGAGAAACCGAGCGTGGATGCTTTCGGTGGGTCAATTTTGTGTTTTTGAAATTCCACGTGGCATGTTTCTTGGTTTTCCTCCATGAGGGAAATTTGCAGTTCGATCCCCAAGCACTACTCCGTAAAGCACCTTGGTCCCTATGGAGTAATTGAAAATTTTGTTAAAATATTTTGTGAAAAGATCCATGTTTCTTCAAAGGTGGGCACTAAGTATCATTGAATGAATCACATAATTTTACATTTAGCTCATATTTGGTAGGGATTAAAATTAAAGTTTAGGCAGATTTTGATAAAAGTTGATGAAATGTGTGGTTCAAAATTTATGAGTCTCATGAAATATGTAGTTAAAATTAATTGTTGACTATAATTTAGATTAAAATCTAAATTTTAATTCCTACCAAACAGGGAATTGAATCTATCACACAATATCATATATACTGGTGTTTTAATACTATTTGTACTAAATATCATTATTCTTCTTCAAAAACCATTAATTAACTAAAAGAAAGTACATATGAAAGAAATAGAGAACCTTCAACATCATATAATCAACCCCACCAACCCCAATTGATTCACCCCCTTGTTACATCCAAATCTTTCGTTTTTACTCAACAAAATCAGGAAGGTGTCAAACAAAATTTGGGAGAAGAAACACATTGTGATTCTGTAAAACCCACTTGGTCCCCTCCGAAAAGAATGCTGAGTTGGGATATGGTGCAACAAGGAGTGGTGGGACTGTAGTGATAGAGACAATTGCACGAATGGAAATGATGTGATTTGTTTTATTTTTTTTCCTTTCATTTGTCTTTTTCTGAATAAGATGACTTGACTGAAATACCCTAAAAATGATAGGCATGTAACACAATAGAACTTTGGATGAATTCCATCTAAAAGAACGAACATGCACCTAAATTGTAGGTTTGAGGATGGAAAAATTACAAAAATTTGAATGGGATCAGAGATGCACCTACGGCTAACGTTGGGGACACCAATTGCAAATTCTCTCTTTTCAACATTAAAGAAATAGTTAAAGAACTTTATTCACTTTGTTCAATTTTGACAAATATTGTGCACAAAAGCACATACAATCAATTAGATTGGGCAGGATAGCATTAGTTCAACGTGTTTTT